CTGCCCCCAGCCCTGAGCCCCCTCCCACACTCTGAACTCCTCGGTCCCACTCCCATCACGCATCACCTCCATATTGGTGCACATAAAATTCATTCCGCACGTGGACATAGAAAATGAGAGGGAACATTACCCGTCACTGGAGGATTTTAGGAACAGGCTCGACAAACCCGTCAGGGCTGGTCTAGGGTTACCTGCCCCCGTGCAGAGGGCTGGTTTAGTTGACCTCTTGAGGTCCCCTCCTGCCCCACATCTCTAGGATTCTGTGATTCTATAACAGGGATCCATCAGCTGGCACTGAGATGCGGCCACCTCTGGGATGGGGCAGCTGTTTCTACACCCCACTGCCAGCAGCACAGCGCCCTCTAGTGCCGCATGACTGGGGTATTGGGGCCAGCACTGACGGAAAGGGGAGAGCGCCCCTTACTGAGCCCCCTGCCGGGCTCCCTGCTGCATCGTGTCCCCTACCACCGCAATGACTCCATGGCAGAGTCACACACAGTGCTTTCCAGGGAGATCTCCCCTCCAAACCACGACCCGGCCCACTCCTGCTTAGCATGAGACGGGCTGAGCTCACAGCAGGGGTCGGACATCTGTGGCCCTCTCAAAAATCAATATCAGGGGACGGCTGTGATGGAAACAGCCATAAACCTGCAGAATAAAACCCTTCCCCCGACCCTCTCTGCCTTTCCCAGTGAAGAAGGAGGATCTAACCCTGGACCCAACCACGGCCCATCCCCAGCTGGAGATCTTGAAGGACGGGAAGGCGGTGAAATGTGGGACTTCCACAGGGAACGTCAGCTGTGGCCCAAGGAGATTTGACACGGCCAACTGCGTAGTGGCCCAGCAGAGCTTCAGCGCGGGGCAGCACTACTGGGAGGTGTCCGTGGGCCAGAAGCCGCGCTGGAACCTGGGCATCGTCTCAGACCAAGCGGAGAGACGGGGCAGATTGATCCAGATGAAATCCTTATGGCCGGGGTCTGGTGAGGTCTGCACCGAGGGCTACTGGCTGATCGGCTACAACAAGCAGAAGGCCGGGAAGCCGTACTGGGCGTTTGACACCAACCCGATGCCCTTTCAGTGCAACCCCCCACCTAAGAAGATCGGGGTCTATCTCGATTACGCGGGCGGGGAAGTGACCTTCTACAACGCCGATGACCCCGGTAATTTGACCCCCCTGTACTCCTTCTACAACGCTGACTTCAGGAGCGCCCCCGTCTACCCCGTCTTCGACCCCTGCTGGCACGACAACGGGAGCAACACTGAGCCCCTTAAAATCCTGTGAGCAGCTGATTCGCTAGTGGGGATGGGGACCAAAGCAATCGCACCCTTGGGGCTACCCGCATATACCTCGGGCTAGCCAGCTTCACAGCACTGCTCTGAGCCGCACTAACCTCACCCAGCGACCAGGCAAAGCCGGCACGTTTCGCTCAGACAGGCCGGTGCGCTGGGACGGGGCAGTGAAAAAGCAGCGAGCTGAGACCATGAGATACTCGCTCGCTATGGTACATTCACCCTCCTTCCCAGAGTTATTGGAGCGGTTTTCCCTTCAGCAACCCACCCCTCCAAGCCCCTTCCTCCAATGGGTTTGTCTTGAGTAGGGTAAAAAATATTTCTTACTATCACAGCATCTCAGGTCTGGTCTACACTGGGGGGGGGGGAAATCGATATAAGTTACAAAACTTCAGCTGCGTGAATAATGTAGCTGAAGTTGACATACTTAGATCTACTCACCGCAGTGTCGTCACTACGATGAGTCGACTGCTGCCGCTCCACCATCAACTCCGCCTCTCGCATGGTGGAGCACCAGAGTTGACGGGAGAGCACTTGGCGGTCGATTTATCGCGTCTTCACTAGATGTGATAAATCGACCCCCGCTGGATCGATCGCTGCCCGCCAATCTGGTGGGTAGTATAGGCAAGCCCTAGGTTACCCCTTCCAAAGCCAGGGAAGGACCCCAGGAGTCTTGGCTCCCAGCTCCCCGCACACACACACTCTAACCACTAGACCCCACTCCCCTCCCACATTGGGGAGAGAACCCAGGAATGAAATCCAGATTGCATCTGGTGTCGTCATTTGCACCTGAGCAAAGTGCCCATAACACTCCCATCCAGAGCATGAATGAAGGGACGAGCTCGTGGGGAGGGGTGAATTCTGCTCTCACACACACCGATGTACGTCAGGAGTTACCCATCAGGGACCTCAGGGCTGATTCCCCTCGCTCTCCCCAGTGCAAATGAGGAGTGACTGCTGGAGTCACTCCCAGGCAAAGCCAGTGTCAGAGCGAGGACAGGGAGATTCGGAGTTGACACTGGATTGGATTTACACTGATCCACAGTGCGCTGGCCGCCGTATCCCTTCATACTGCAGTCATCTGCAAACTGCTGTTGCCCCTCGCTGCCGTGGGCACTGAGCTCCAGCCCAGGGCTTGTGCTTCTCTGATGATTTTATTTTACTTTGCTCAATAAAGAAAAACATTTGCCATAATTCCTCAGAATCCTGAGTCGTGACTCAGTTTCTCCATCCACATCCCTGGGAATCTGGAGCCTGCTGAGACCTTTCCTCAGTTTAACCCTTGCGCTGCTGCAGACATGTATACTGTGACAGGGTCCCCCAGGCACAACCTGGAAGTGGGGTACCACTTTGCCCTCTTCACTCTCCAGCCTGGGCCGTCTCTCACAAGGCTTTGCTAGTGACAAGGAGCAACCCCCTCCGGGCACTGTCCTCTCACAGCATGTGGAGCCCCACACTCAGCTGGATTGCATAAATGCTCCCTGAGCCACTCACAAATCACACAGAGAAAGGCACCAGCCAATTCCCCCAGCTCCCAGCCTTGCACCCAGAGCTGGACTGTCTTCCCTGGTCAGAAGCCCGACCAGTGTAAGTTTTTAACCCAGTCCACCCCTCCCTCCACGTGGAGAGGACACGAACTAGCCTTTGTAACCTGAGCTGAGATTTCCCAAGCACCACCGGGAAAATACACTGTTTTAGGTAAAATATCAAACAGATAATTAACTCCAGAAAGACGTTAAGTGATTAGAAGCTGTAGGCACAAAAGGTCAGCGATAGTTACCAGAGAAAATAAAAGGTAAGCGCACAGTCTAAATCTTAAACCTTAGTACACTGGGCAGTATTTCGATCAAGCGATTATCTCACCCCACTGGATGTTACCGTTCTTAACACACAGGCCTCCCTCTCAAGCCTGGGACCAGTCTCCTCAGTTTAAGTTTTCATCTTCTCACTGTTCTTGTTGCTGCCAGCGTACGTGGGGGAGGAGACAGGCCAAGGCCGGCTGCCACTGTCCCCTATTTTATACGCTCAGTCCACATGCCTAGAAGACACTTGCCCGGACATGATGGGCTTTGCTGAGTCACTGGGTTGAGCAATCCCCCTGGTGGTCTTGTGCAACTGAGTCAGAGAGTTGAGCCGTCCCCATTGTGTGGTGCTTGGGCAGCTGTCATTGAATTGTAAATCCCTTGATGACACCTCCCCTGCTGATTAACGGTCGGATAACACCCTCCTGGGAGTGGTTAGCTGTAGAGACCCAAATTTACAACCTATTTCAGAAACAACCATACAGCAAATTCAATCTCATAACTTCATATACACTAAGGATATTCATATCTGGACAGAACAACGGGTTTCAGCAGCTCATGACCTTTCATTAGATACCGTACCTGGCGTGCTTTGTATGAAATATCACAACCGCACATGAATGACGAATATGGGGGTCACAGAGTGCTATTTTGAGGTACCGCGTGTCACATATACACAGCTCTAAACTGAGGCCTTCTACTCAAGACCCCTTCCCATAATCCCTGCCTCCTTCTCCCAGATTTCCAACATCTCCATGCTGAGTCCAGACTGGCAACAGCTAAATATTAACATGTGATGGTGTTAAACTCTCACAATCCGTGTACACACTAACCAAAATCCCGTCCATCTCGTTTTTCTATATACGTAGTCCCCTGTACCTAGGAAGCTGAAAAGTTCTGTCCTTCGGTTGAACCTAGTGAGTGAAAGGAAAACTCCTGTTCCCCTGCCCCCCACGACCCTTCCCCTCCACCAGGCATTCCCTGCAGCTTCTGGCAAACTCTTGTTAAAACCATTCTGAATTTTGCTCCCCAAAAGGGCGAGTGGAGGCCGTGCACACGCTGGGGGTCACCAGCAAGTGAGTTAGATGTTTATTTTGGGGGGTGCTGTATCTCAGGAACCCTGTGGTCAAATGGCCCCACCTCTGGCTCTCTGCACCCCCAAGAGGCACACCCAATGCCAAAGCAATCCGAGAACCATGCGGATTGGAGAGCACTTGGACCAGGCCAGCTTTAAACAGAAAGCTGGTCTTGTCCTTACCTCTAGCAGTGCTGGCGCGCCCCTCTCACGCAGAAGAGAGTCTGTTACCTTGCAGCTCCCCAGCTCTGTCCTCTCCCCCGGGGACACAGGGCTGTGAGAGAGGAGGGGAATTCTCACTGCGTTGCAGAAGGCGACGGTCACCCTAAATATAGCCCCGAGTCCGGGGATCTGGCTCTGACGTGGGTACGCTGTGGAGGGAGAACAGGAGGTAGAATAAGGAAACGGGGTGGGGGGAGGTGGGGTAGCAGAACCAGCTGGAAAACAATTATTTTTCCTGTGGAAATGTTGAAAAATTGTTTTTCTCTTTTTGAAATTTCCCACCAAAACGCTGCAGTTTTTTGATGACAAAGCGAAACAAAGAAACAGTGTGGTTGGAAACCGGCCCATTTGCCGGCTTTTGGCTTCTGCAGAAAATGGAAAACGTGGAGCAAGAAAAATATTTTGATGGAAAAATTCCCACGTGCTCTAGAACTGGGCTTTGGGGGATGCCAGAGCTGGTGGGAACGGTTGCATCTCTCCATCTCCATAGGGCACTAACCCGATCCCACCCCTCTTCTGAGCACTCCTTCCCCCTCCCCACTCAAACACCCAGACTGGCATCTAACTCTCCCTTGCCAGGGAAACAGCTGTTAGCGAGGATGAGAACATGCACCAATGTTTGACAGACAGTGAAAGTTTGATCATGTGATTTACAGTAACCGGAGTGAAATTGGGGAAACCTCCCTAGTGGGGAGGGGGGAGTCAGAGATGCAAATAGTTCAGGGGACTCAGGTGCTATCCCCCCCTTCTCAGCCCATAGAGAGCCTGTCATAGGGCCTGGCCACCCCAGTGTGCCATCTTCTGGTCAAACATAGTACTGCAGGGGCACCCTGCCTCAGTTTCCTTTTCCAAGGTGGGTCCCCTTGGCTTTCCCCACACTGGTCAGTGACGGTGATGGGGGTTGTCTCTCTGACCACTAAACAAATGTAACCTCTTCCGGGTGTGGTGTATTGAGGACTGTGTTGGAATTGCAAACTATCGCTTCAAGAGGGGGAGAGTTCGGGTCCTGCCTCCAGGCTGGGGCTCTGGAGGGATGTGTGGGCTCTGGGTCTAGCAGCAGGGTCTGCAGAGAGCCAGCCTGGAGTAAGGTGGGGTGAAGTGGGGGTCACTGCCAGAGGGAGCAGCCTGCTTTTGTCTCTCTCTGTTTTTTGCTTCCTGTGGGTTCCGGATTCGAAGCAATAACGTCATGTTACATTGCAACAGTCAAGCGAGGGCATTATGGGTTTATCTAAAAACTTCACTCTGTGTGTGTGCCATAAACATAACACCGAATATCCAAGCCCAGCTGTAAGTGGTTGGGCCCAAGCTGTCTTCTCCCAGCTGGTCTCTTCAAAGTCCCTATGCCTGGCTCCCTCTGGGGCAGCAGCAAAGTCTGTCCAACTCCAACAGAACTGAACAGAACGTCACTGGTCTTTGTTATGTGCACACATGCAGAGAAGTGGGATAAAAACAGTCTCCTCTTGCTGGAATGTGGCACCAGAACACCACTTTAGAATTCAGAATGAGAACACACAAGAACTCAAAACCAGAGAGAGACAAACCAGGCTGCTCCCTAAGGCAGAGAGGTACAACTCACCCCACCTTCCTCTAGCTGGCTCTTTGCACATTGACTCTCATCTCATGCCTCCCTACAAGGCCCCCTATCCTACAGGCAGGGCCAGGAAATCCCACTCCCTTAAGGTGATGGCTTGCAATTCCAACACAGTCCTCAACACACAACTGTCTTTTCAGAGCAGCCAGTCCCAGAGCTTCTCCCTGGGCTCTCCATAGAAGGCAAAACTGGAACCAAAATCCAATGCTACTGAAGCATCATCTGCCCCTCTCTGGGCTTGATCCCCTTGTCCCACAGGGACTCCTCTTCCAGAAGCCCAACAGCCAGGAGTGGAGCCTATCCCTTGTGCCGGTGCCTCCCAGCGGTGTTAGCTCCGCTCAGAGATTTCAAGGCCACAAGGGACCATTGTGATGGTCTAGTCTGACTTCCTGTGTAGCACAGGCCACAGAACTGTCCCAAAATAATTCCTAGAGCCAGAGGCACCGACTCCGTGTGTGCTCCGGGACTGGAGCACCCACGGGAAAAAAATACTGGGTGCTCAGCACCCGCCGGCAGCTCTGCCAATCAATTCCTCCCCCTCCCTCCCAGCGCCTCCCATCTGCCACGATCAGCTGTTGAGCGGAGTGCAGGAGGTGCTGGAGAGGATGGGGCAGAGCAAGGGCGGGGCATGCTCGGGGGAGGGGGTAGAATGGGGGAGGAAGAGGAGGGGCAGGGATGGGAAGAGGTGGGGTGGGGTGAGACAGGGCCTGGGCCAGAGCTGGGGGGTTGAGTTCCCCCTGGGAAATGAGGAAGCCGGCACCTGTGCCTAGAGCAGATCTTTTATCAAAACATCCAGTTCTGATGTAAAAATGGTCAGTGATGGAGAATCCACCGCAACCCTGGATAACTTGTTCCAAAGGTTAATGACTCTCACTGTTAGAAATGTGCCGTATTTCCTGTCGGAATTCGCCTTGCTTTGACTTCCAGACCTTTCTCTGCTAGACCAAAAAGACCATTATTAAATATTTGTTCCCCGTGTAAATACTTACAGAGAATAATCAAGTGACCCCTTAACCGTCTCTTTGTTAAGCTAAATAGATTGCGCTCTCTGAGTTTATCACCATGTGAACTAGCCGATAAAAAGGAAAAAAATCTCTCTTATAAACACATACACATGCAGAACAAGGCCCATCACCTCCACCAGGGGGCAGCAGCGCCAGGCTCAGAAATTCCCAGTCTACTGGCCCCTGGCTGGCTTTTGTACGGGTTTGGGTGAGCTCTGAGCATGCCTAACGGATTGGGCCCTGCGGGTGGGACGGGGTGGACACACCAGGGTTTAAGTGTGAACGAGGGCTCTGAGCAGCTGGGTGGGGCCAGAACTTAGCGGCTGGGCGTGTGCCCTGGTGGAAACAGGGTCTGGGGAATTTACCCACCTGCAGGGTCACGCAGCAACTGAGCAGGGTTTG